TAATAGAATTCTAGACTGAAAAATACCTAACATTAAAATTTTGCTGAGAAACAGTAATCAGACTGACGAGGCAGTCCCACAGAATGGGAGAAAATCATTGCCAGCTATACATCTGACAGGGAATTAATAATCAGAATCTACAGGGAGCTCAAAAAACTAAACTCCCAAAGAATCAATGACTCAATGAAGAACTAGACAAAGGAACTGAACAGAAATTTTTCAAAGAAGGAAGTTTAAATACCCCCCCAAAAAAGAAAAACCACATTGAAGAAATGCTCAACCCCTGGTCATAAAGGAAAAGTAAATTACCACATTAAGATTCCACCTCACTCCTGTTAGAATGGCTAACATCAAGAACACAAACAATAATAAACTTTGGCAAGGATGTGAGGAAAAAGGAATGCTTATATACTGTTGGTGGGAATGTAAATTAATACAACCACTGTGAAAAATAGTATGGAGGCTCCTCAAAAGACTAAAAATAGCCTGAGTGTCTGTGACTCACTCCTAATCTAGCTATTCAGGAGGCAGAGATCAGAAGGATCATGGTTCAAAGCCAGCCCTGGCAATAAATAGTTCTCAAAACCCTATCTGGAAAAAACCCATCTATCACAAAAGAAAAAAAAAAGAGGGGGGGGCTGGTGGAGTGAGTCAAGTGGTAAAAACGTTTGCCTAACAAGCATGAGGTCCTGAGTTCAAACCTCAGTGCTGCTCTCCCTAAAAAAATCTACAAATAGAACTTCTGGGTATATATCTGAAGTATATGTGTGAAAACTGTTGATGTCATTTTAAGAAGGAGGTAGGGGAAGAGGGAGAATAATGGAAGGGATGAACCAAACTGGGGTACATTGTACACGTATATGGAAATGTCACAATGAAACCCCCAGTATAACTATTGTATACTAATAAAAATGTTAAAAAAAAAAAACCTTTGTTTGTCAGGGGTTGGGTTATGACTCAAGTGGTAGAGTGCAGGTGCAAGGTCCTACATTCAAATACCAGTACCACCAAAAAAAAAAAAACAAAATCAAAAAATAACTTTGCAAGCTCGGAGTCAGTGGCTCATGCCTGTAATCTTAGATACTTAGAACCTATTGGTTCCAAGCCAGGAAATAGTTCACGAGACCCTATCTTGAAAATACCCATAAGACAAAAAAGCCTGATGGAGTGCTCAAGGTTTAGGCCCTGAGTTCAAGCCCCAGTACCACAAAAACAAACAAACAAACAAAAAACAAAAACAAACCAATTTTGCAAATAATCTATCATTGCCTTCTAATAACCATTGATACCGATATAACTGACATTTATTATTTTGTTGCTAACATGTCTTTTATGTTTAGAAACTTTGGGGATTAATGGTACTATTTCATAATGTCTCCAGGTATAAATCATTGTTCATTTATTTTCTGGTACCTGTGAATCTCCTAATCTGGAAACTTATTTTATTCTACATTCTAAAAAAAAAAAAAGCCTCATAACTTTCAAGTTCCTTTTATTTATTTATATTTATTTTTGAGACATACTCTCACTAGATAGCCCCTACTGGTCTCAAAATCAGGACCCTCTTGATTGTTCCTTACAGGTGTGTACTGCCATGCCCAGCCCTCACTTTCTTGTGTTTTAAAATATCTTTCTCTTCTACTAGTCGAATGTAAGGTCTGTTAGATTACTGCCCTGATTTATCTTATCCCTCAAATTTTCTGTGTCCTTTTATGCCATGTTCTAGATTTCTTTGATCTAATTGTCAGTATTTCCATTTTCCTCCTTTAATCATTCTTGTTAACGCCTAAGATCTCTTTTAACCTACAATTACTCTTTTTTCAGAGTACCTTGTTCACATAGGTGAGCGCCAGTGTATATGAATGGAATGTTTCTTAGAAATGTTCTCTGTTATTTCATGAATTATATATTGCATTTTCCAGTGTTATGGCTTCTTCCTCTGTTTTTGAGACAGGGGAAAACAGCCTGTTTTAGTGCAGGCTGCCGGTGATCCTCCTGCCTCAGCCTCTGGAATGCTGGGATACAGGCTTGTACCAATATGCCCTCCTTTGTCTTTCTCTTTCATGTTGCTGATTTTCAGTTCTTCATTAGGTGCTCATAAATATCACACAAACTAGTAATTGGTGTAATTTTCCTTTCCTTTAGTGAGTAAGATATCTGTTAGTTCTTTCCCCTACATAGTAATTGTGAATAAGTGGCTGGGTTGGGTAGGATAGGGCCAGAAGTGCCAAATATCATGTTTTACTTTAGGACAGTGGACAAGTAGCCAGGCCTCAGGACACTGGAGCCCTGAATACCAGAATGAGAATGGTTTTACTCTGTTATAAACATAAAAGTTTTCATTTTCTCTGTACTACTTATTGAATTAATTTAGAATACATTTGGGGATTCTTTTGTGTGTTTTTGGATTCATCTGGAAGCACATGTGCTTGCCTATTCTCTATATGTTAGGATGATGGAAGAAAACGTATGTGGCGATTGATTTAATTGTGTCATACTTGGAATGTTACCCTTACTTTCAGTCATTATTCTCACTTCTGCCCTCTGCCATCTCTTTCTCTAAAGAAGAAATACAAATGGCTAACATATATACGAAAAATGGTCAATATCATTAGCCATTGGGATGGTGCAAATTAAAACCACAATGAGAAAAACCACCATCTCACTGTGGTCAGAATGTCTATTAAAAAAAAAACAAATAAACAAATGCCACTGATGTGGAATAAAGGAACTCTAGAACCATTACACAGAAAAGTATAGAGGTGCCTCAAAATATTAAAAGTAGATCTAACATATGATTCGGCCATCCCACTTCTGGGTATATATCCAAAGGAGTTGCAAACCACATGCCAAAGCTATACCTTCACTCCCATGTTTACTGTAGCCCTTTTTACACTATAGCTAAGCTAGAGACTCAGTCCAGCTGCCCATCAACAGATGAACGGATAAAGAAATGCAGTTTATGCACACAATGGAATATTGTTTAGCCATAAAGAAGAAAGAAATTCTTTCATCTGCAGCAAAATGGATAAAATTGAAGGTCATTATTTAGGTGAAGTTCGTCAGACATAAAAAGACAAGTACTGCATGTTCTCTCTCATATGTGTAAGCTAAAAAATATTGACTTAGGTGTAGAATAGTGATTAATAGAGGTTGGGAAGGGTGGGGTTGGATAAAGGGAGGTTGGATATAATCAGTGCACATTGTATGCATGTGAAATATGCTGAACCCCCCCCAAAAAAAACCCCAAAATAAAAAAAATTAAAAAATTTAAAAAATCCCTCTGAAAGACCCCCCCCCATTATGTACAAATAGGTTATCTGTTATCATGGAATGCTTCTACTCTTGGCTTTGCTTGTGGCATAATTTCTGGACAATTTTCCTTCACATTATCAGGAGCCATCTTTATCAGAATATTTTTCCATTAACATTTGGGAAACCCTATGGGATTAAAAACAGGCCAGAGATAATTCTTAAGAATATAAAAGAAATACAATGTAAACCACTTATGTAATTTCACATTTTTCTAGAAATGAAAAATGAACAGATGAGATTAATTTTGATAATTTTATTTCACCCAATATATACCAATTATTATTTCAACACATACTAAAGAGTCAAGTCTTTAAATATGGTATATATTTTGTACCTATTGCTTGTCTCAATTTGAACAAGTTACATTTCTGGTGTTGACAGTCAGCCACATGTGATTAGTGGTAGGAGATGGGGCAGTTTTAGGTACTTCATTTCAATTTCCTTCTTCCTTAGCCCTCTCAAACTCTGATGGGTACTATGTGTTAAGCACCTCTCATTACCATGTGGCCTCCTTTCAATTTTTTATGTATTTTTCTTGTCTCATAAATTTGTAAACTCTTTGAAGGCTAGAACTGTAGATTGATTGACTGTCAAGATTGGAAATAACTTTAACCATCAGCCAATTCTTCTCTTGACATGTTACTCCAGTCCCTATTATGCGAGAGCATTCAGGGTCTACTTGGAGACAAATCTAGTGGTTGAGGTATTCATACCCACCAATGTATATATACTTCTTTGATTTGTGCTAGAAGGGAATATCTCAGAATCTGAAATGTTTCCATGAAGTTTGCATCCCACGAAAGAAATCTACTTTACATAATGGGTCTTTTCATATTTGGAGATGGCCTGGAAGCTTCCTCTCTTTCTAGGGGAATCCTCCTACTTGAGTATCGAGTTGTCTTCATTATTTTTCTCAAATGAAATAATCCGAACTTGATTGAGGTCTTCTTAAAGTACTCAATCTAGAGTACTTCATTTCAGATGTGGCCCACGGAGTGAAGAGTATAACTGGATCATTATTAGCTGCCTCTCTGTACAACAGAGTTCTACCAGGGATCGGGACATATTAGCTTAGGAGTTAGGGGCATTGGAAGAGGAGAATCACAACACATTATTAACTTGCACCATCTCTGCAATCTTAGCTTTTCGTCCCAAGCTACTCACATACAACACACAGTTCTTCAGGTTGATATCTTTTTATCTTTTCAACTGATCCAGGGAATATTCGTGTCTTTTGTTTTTGGCGGGTTCCAACACTAAAGGACCGAATGGCAGAGATAACTTTAGAAGAAATAAGCTGAAAACCCATAAAAGTTTGAGAAAGTGAGATTTGCGTCCAGAGGATGATATATAAAGTGTCGAGCAGGCAGACGGCTCCAGTTTATGCCATCCAGGGGAATTCTCCCGTTTTCCATTCACACTGCTCTTCTCTTCTTACCTTTAATAGGCGTTATTTGCGCCACATACTCATCACGCCAGCTGGAGCGCGTCCCCGACGCAGGTCTGGGCTCCCTTGGGTCTCTGCCTCCGAGCCCGCGGGCAGGGGGCGGGGCGGCGGCGGGCAGGGGGCGGGGCGGCGGCGGGCAGGGGGCGGGGCGGCGGCGGGCAGGGGGCGGGGCGCGAGGCCGCAGAGAGGCGACGTGTTGACGTTGGCGCGGGTGCGAGCGGCTGACGTGTAGGTGTGCGCCCGCTGCGCCCGCTGTTCCGGGTCCTTCCTCGCTGCGTCTGTGGGTCTGTCACCCTGTGGTACAGCCTTCGCTCCGGCGGCCGGGTGACGGGGAGCGACCCCGGCACGCCCCCCGTGGGGTGCGGAGGAGGACGGGGCGTGCAGCTGACCACCGGAACCCTCGGCCCTGCCCTCCGCTACTGGCTTGGCGTGGGAAGTGAAAATAAAAGCAAAAGTGAGAAAGGCGCGGCGGCTGGAGCGGACGGACTGACGTGGCAGTGGGAGCCGCGTGAGGCGACCGGAGGTGAGGAGGTGCAGAATGGGCGCCCGGCGGGGAAGCGGGTGGGAGGCCGGGCTGTAGCGAGGGCGAGGAGGCCCGAAGAGCACCTAGGGCTGTCATCTCCGTCCCGGCCCGACACACACTGTCACTCGTGGAGTTTGGGGGTGGGGTAGGGATGAGAAGAACCAGCCGGGGACGCTTACTGATCAGGTGTTGGGTCACACCTGTGGGACAAGTCTTGTTTTCATTACCTTTCTTTTACAAAGACGTTTTGTCGCGTAGATTTTGGGAGAGAAATGTGCCTCCGTGTGTCCCTCCCACTCCCGCCGAAACACTGTAGGTATTGGCTCTGTGTGAATTTAGCAATCGAGGACTCTCGAGTTCCACTCTGAAATAGTGTGTGCGCTCTAGGGAGGTGCCCTGGGTAGGTGGGACGGCTTTGAAAGATAGATTGCTTGCCCTAGATTAATTTACTCATAGGATGCAGTATGCTCAATTATTCTTTATTTGGTTTAAAAGGAGCATAATTGTAGTGGCAATTATGGTAAAAGTTTCATATAAGTGGTATCACATGTGCAGTTCAAATTGATAATCATATTTTTTTCCTCCCCCACTCCCTCAAGTTAGGGTTAGATTTAATTGCCTCTATCTTCATCATGAGATTTCGTGTTTCATAAATGAAATCATTTTTTTCTTATTTTCAACGTGTTGTCAAAGGTTGAGAATTTGGCTTCCAATTCTAGTTTCGATTGTTTTCTGTTGTAGCTTTTATTTTTAGTAACGGTTATTGTACTAGTCTTATTGTACTAGTCTTGCATGAGGGAAATGATCTCTAGAGATGTCAGTTAAGTGTGGGCTATTACAATCTTATTTGTGTGACTTAATGTCAGCTTTTTTGGTACTTGTTGAGTGGTTTTCTTTTGTCATTCACTTATTTATGTATTCCATATGTGCTAGGCACTGGTACAGGACCTTGGAAATGGAGACAATTTCTGTGTTCATGGAGTGTTCTGTGTTCAGTGGCACCCTTTTAGGAGACCATTCTGCCATGCCATGGATCTTTGGTTGGTCAGTAGCAATACCTTATTGCTAGTGTTTATATGTGTGTTAGTTTCTTGTCACTGTGACATACTACCTGGGATAAACAACTTAAGAGACAGAAGATTTATTTGGCTCATGGTTTCAGTCCATGGTCAGTTGCCATGGGCCGTGAAGCAGAACATCATGGTAGTGGGAGCATGAGGTAGAGGAGACTGACTGCACACATCTTGGAGGTCAGAAAACAGAGGAAGGGACAGGGGAAAAGTATACCCTTCAAGAGTATGGCCTCGGTGACCTACTTCCAACTAGACCTCCTCCTCTAGTTTTTCCCACCTTTCAATAATGTCATTAAATTATGAATCCATTGGTGGATGATCCACTGGTTAGGTCAGAGCCCTCATGATCTAGTCACTTATCCAAAGCCCTATCAGCTGGCAATCGTGCCTCTTAACAGGAGCCGTTTTGGGGATATTTCATATCCAAATCATAACAATATCTAACGGCATGTGAAAGAAGAACAGATTATCTTATTTGAACAGCATTATTTGGTGTTGTCTTTGATTAAAAAACTAGTCTACATGCCAGTGGTTTGCTAATTAAGAGGACTAAGTTTTTCTTTTTTGCAAAGTTGTTACAAAGTTCACAATTGGAAATCAGTTTCTACTTGAAAAGTCTATTTTTCCAGTGTTTATATAGGTCTCATGAGTTCCTATGTGTTAATGACATGTAATTCATGAATTCTATGCCTAAAGCATACACATCAGGACCTTACACTTATAACCAAAGTGAATTTATTACCCCATAATATCTTCCTTGGAGAGGTAGTTGGTGTAAGCCTTTTCAGTACAAAATATATCATGATATAATATGGCACAGTTCTAAACTTTGGGAAAATGTCTACCTGAAATTGAAATTTTAGTAAAGAAAAAGTACAGAATTACCAAGGAGAAAGCTGAGTGCAGTGATTTATAATCCCAGCTATGTGGGAAGTGGAGATCAGAAGGATTGTGGTACCAGGATAGCCCTGGCAAAAAGTTTCAATTAGTAAGCTGAGCATGTGGCCTGTGCCTGTGATTCCAGCTATATGAGAGGCCATAATAGGTAGAAGGATTGTGGTATCTGCCTTCTAAGTTTCATACCTGAATAACCAATCCTTACTATTTCTACTGGAATGTCATATAGATATCTTAAACTCAACATGTTAGAAGGAAATTTATGGTACCATACATACACACAACAAAACAAAACTTACCTCTTCTTTAGCTCTGTAAATTCCTCCATCCACGTGATCTGTAAATGTGGGAGTTAGCCTTGTCTTCACTCACCTCCCACACAAACAGGTGATCAGTTAATCAAATAGATTTGACTTACATAATCATTTGGATTCATCCATTTATTTTCTAAATTTCAGTCATTACTTCAGTTTAGAAACCATCATCTCTTCATCTTTCATATAGATTACTGCAATTTATTCCAAGTATCTTTCTGCTCCCAGTATTTCTTTTCTTGGGCCCATTCCTTTCACTAGAGTCATAGTAATCCTAATTTACACAGTTCAAATAAACTCTTTTGGAGATTCTTTTTATTGTTGTGATAATTTATACACTTAACCTGGCTAATAAAGCTCTTTATGATCTGGCTTCTATCAGTCTCTCAGGTTCCATTTCTTGTCACATCAGTTCTTGACTATTATACTCCAGGCATCTTTTTCAGTTCCTTGAATGTGACATTCATCACACAATCCATACTTGCTGCTCTCTTTGCCTAACTCTTCATCCTGAAAGTCTTAATTTCAGAAAGCTTCTCTGTTTTGATCTCCTTTCTTGCTAGGCTAGACACACCTGCTTTGTGTTCCAGTAACACTCTTTACTCTCACTTTTTATAGTAGTCTTTTTAGTGTGTATTGGGTTAATTTATTAATTGGCTTCTCTTCCTCTTTAGACTATGATTTGCAAGGGCAGGCACTAGGTTGATTTTGCTCACTATGCTCTACTCAGCATGATGCTTAGCATGTAGTAGAAATAATAGTTAAACAGTTAAATGAGCGAAAACTGTTGCTACATTCATCTCTTATGATTTTTCCTTCTGAGCCCACCTCCATCCTAAGGTTTCTAGCAACCATTGGCTTTTCTTTTAGCCTTGCTTTTTTTCTGCTTTGTTAAGAGATTTAGACAATGCTTACCTAAATATTAATTTTATAAATAATTTAGTGTCTACATATGTATAATTTTGAGTTCATTGGAACTCAAACACATGTTAGGTTTTGGGAATGGCATACAACTTTTATGTATGAGTAAACTTACAAGTTTGTAAACCATCTCTAATGATTGAAATAATTAAATCTGTGTTAGACATCTTCAAGATGATACAAATATTAAAAACATATATAAGAATCCAGAGTTGTAAATACTACTCCCCTTTTTCTGGCACCTTTGTCTTCATTTTATCTGTTCTGTGAATCTATCCATTATAAAAATATTTATTGAGAACCTACTATCTCCTAGACATTGTTTTAGGTGCTATGGATGCAGCAGGGAACAGAGTTCATAGTCTGTTGGAGGAAGTAGGCAGAAAATGTGTGATGTGTTAATAAGTTCTAGGAAGTAAAGTGGGTTGGATACAAAAGAATGATTAAGGTGGGGGACTGTTGTCTTAGATAGGCTGAGTAGGGAAGGCTTCTTTCCTAAGGAGATATTTGTACAAAGACCTGAGGGAAATGAAGAATCTATCTGTGTGGTATATGGGAAAGTGTGTTTGGTAGAGTTGTGTGGAAGACAGTGAGCAAGTAGGAAAGTTACAGAAAATATCAAAACATAGAAAGCTAAGCTCCTTGGAGCCTATGGATTTTGCTCAGAAATATGGGAAACTGTTAGAGTGTTTTAAGCAGATGAGAAAGTTTTAAAAAAGAATCATTCTCAAAAAGAAGGAAAGAATTTCCTTTCCCCCCAAAAAAGAAAGGATAGAAGGAAGAAAATGAAAAGGAATCATTTTTGCTTTCACAAATGTTTGTTATTTGTTTATATGTCTATATGTGGAAAGCAGGTATCTGGGATTAAGGGTAAAAACAGGAAGACTGAATGGAAGGCTCTAAATATATATACATATACTTTGACTACAGATCTGTTTTTTTTTTTTTAACCCAAATTTGACCAATTCTTACATACCAGCTGTTGTGTCCTACAATTGAATTTAATTCTGACACTACTTGGAATTAGAGTCAGCTCACACAGGTTACAGTCCCACAAAGCTATCTCCATTTCAGATACCCCACTTCTGATACAGCTTCTGTCTGATCAGCTGTAAATTTAGGGTTCCCATGATACCCTATTTGGGTTCAGTATTTCTAAGAATAGTTCACAGAACTCAAGAGAAATACTTAACATTTGCCAGTTTGTTGTAAAGAATATTACAGAGGATACAGATGAAGAGGTACCTAGGGCAAGTTCTGGAAGGGTCCCAACATCAAGGAACCTCTATCCCCAATGGAATTGGAGAGTACTGTCTACCAGCAGGTAAATGCTTTTACTAACCCCAAAGCTCATCACATCTCCTTCAAGAGTTTTTATAGGACTTAATCTACAGTGTTTCAGCCCTTCTCCCAGAGATTAGTGAGTAGGGCTGAAAATTCCAGACTTGGTCTTTTTGGTGACTGGCCTATCCTGTCATCATGTTAGCATAAACTTGGTGCGATCAGAAGGGACTTGTTATGAATACCAAAAAAGACTTCTGTAAATTGCAGGGATTCTAGGTGCTCTGTGCTAGGAACCTGAGACAAAGATCAAACACATTTCCTATTATACTGCTAAAGCTATTGCAGTAATCTAGGGAAAAGATGATAATGGTGAAAAGTGGCAATATTCTGGATATGTTTTGAAGATAGAGTTGGGAAGTTTTCCTCAGGTAGTAAAGTCCAGCCTGAATTTTTTTGTGGTGTGAATAGTAGTCAGAATGGATTTGTGATTTCATATAGTCAGGTAGACAGT